CGTATATATAATAACAAAAAAATTGAGGTCAAGTTGTGCATCGTATTTCACAGTGGTCGTATTATATTAATTTGTCACAAAATATTTTTAGTTGACTATATATATATATCCTCGTATGCTTATCTAAAATTCATCTAATATTTTTAGTTGACCATAAATTGTCCACGTGCAAACTATTTTGAAATGGAAATATAAATTGTCCACGTGCAAACTATTCTCATCCGGTATGTGGCTTGGGCCACGGGTGTGGACACGTGGCGGGCGAGGTAGTGGGTCTGACACAGGCCCGTAACAAATTGTTCGACAAACTATGCTTGATTGTTGGTGAATAATTTAAATGTCTTTTGATCATCATGCCCCAATTTGTTTTGTGCATTATACTAGCTAGGAATAGTTTTTTCTAGCATTTTTGAGTAATTCTTGAATTGTATTGCAATCTTACTTAAAAATATAAACAATAAATAAATCTTTTCACGCTCTCTTAGCAGAATTTTGAAGGAAAATTGTCTGAAATGACAAGATATGTTAATCAGTGAAATGTTGAGAATCAAAATGAGCTGGAAAAAGTTGGAGATATGAGTATGTGGAAATGTTAAGAATTTTTTTTGGATGTCTTGAATATTCAAGTTTCGCTCGATTAATCCTGAGGAGTGACGGCCTCCCTCTAGTTCACCACCTGGGTAAATCAGATGCAGACACACTTGGGCCATTTATGAACTTTTAATTGTAAATGAATATGATGCAGTTACAAAAAATCGTTGTGCAAATATAATCGCCCATTTTGTAAAAAGTTCATGCTTCGGTTATTTCTAATGATGCCCTCATCATCATCGAAATTAAAACTGATGACTGCAAGAATTTATTTTCTTAACTCCAGGACTCAAATCTGGGTTGTTGTGTCGGCTTTGGGTGAGTAGGAATAGGGCAATAGGAAGATTACCAAATTTGGACCTCAATAGCCTTTTTGGAGAGCAAAGAAATTGTACGCTTAAAATCAAACCTCGAAGAAGGGTTAATACTCAATACCATTCGGTAACGAAGCGACTCGACATTTTACAACAAGCATTTAAATTATGGAATGAGACTATCTAGTCTTCCTTCACACAGTATGACTAGGGACTGAGACAAGAAATAATTTTGGGGTGGATTAAAATTTAAAATTTTTAAATAAACTCATGATATAAGGGATCGAGTTTAGAGGACTACACTCATTACAATCCTGATAAATAACATGTGACACTCAATGAAGTACAAGTCTATATTTTCGCCCTAAGATGTCTCACTACATGTTCGTACTTTTTCCTGTGAAATACAAATCAATGCTCACCTTAGAAAATATAAACCGATAGAAGCACGATAAACGTAAGCAAATGATATATATCAATCAATCAAAAACTAAAAAAACACTCAAGAATTTTACTACCATTTGTTTCAAACAACTGAAAGTTTTGATCAAAAAGGCAACCGAAAATACATTATTATATGTCACAATTCTCAAAATATTATCTAATGTGGGCATCAATCTTTTATACCAACACATTCTACCATGAGCGAAGAATCCACCCAAAGTCAAAATACGACAAGAAATTTCGAGGGTAAAAAATTTGATTTCTTTCACGTCCCTTTTTAATTCAACTTCTATAATATACATATG